AAAAAAATATTTTTAACTTTTCAGTTCGATGTTTTTTAAAAGAGTGTTTTTTAAGTCTTTTTAAACAATATTTATTTTATCTAAGTTTTGGGATCAATCAGCCGTATATAGTTTAGAAAAATGACCATTGATATTTTCCTATTCCGGAGAGGCAGCCTGAAAATCAACTACTAAGTCCAAGACAGCAGCCGCGCAAAGAAGGGTTACTAATAAGGCGCGTGTTAATAAAAAAAATATTTTTTTCAAATGAAAAAATACATGTAAAGTGAGTTCGAATTATATCAAGGAGTTACGTACAGTGGCACCTGCCCGCGAATAGATCAAGCAATAATGTCGATATATCAAGGCGTTACGTACAGCGCCATCTGCCCGCCAATAGATCAATTAATAATGTCGATAATTCTGTCAAATACAGATCCCAAGCTTGAGAGTTACAAATAAACATACATACATACGGGGGAAGCTAATAAAAGCGTGTTAAAAAATACTTTCTTCAAATGAAGAAATACATGTAAAGCGAGTTCGAATTATATCAAGGAGGTTATGTTCAGCGCCATCTGCCTGCGAATAGATCAAGCAATAATGTCGATAATTCTGTCAAATCGATATCCCGATATGAAATGAAAAGGAGAGTTACAAACAAACATACATACATACAGATGAAGCTAATATAAAGAGTGTAAAAAGCACCCTGACTCTCGCCTCAAAATATCAACTTTTTCAAAAAGTCGGTATGCTTTTTGTTCGTTGACTACTCCACTTTCTGAAATTGTAAAAAAAATACATTACTACAGTAAATGATCTCAGAAAATGCAAAAAATCGAAAAAAGCTCAATTTTGATTTGTTTTTAAATCATTATGTACAATTTTGAGCTATTTATTGAAATGTACACTTTTATTACTCAAAAACGTAAGACTCCATGTTATACTGATGAACGAAAAAATTGCAAATCGAAATATACAAACAAATAAGTTCATAAAGTTAATTTTCAATAAGACATTTTCAAAATTTTGAGAAGGTTGTAGAATCTTCTTTAAATAATATTTGTAGGTGACTATTTATTGCTGTTCTAAAATGATTTATATAACTGAGTGACCTATTGAAATTTTTAGTCATTGTTGTGGGTCAAGATATTGATCTTTTGGTCCTTTTAAATCAATTAAATTCAAATAATCATTACATTCATTTTCTCAAACCAGGTTCTGGAAATATAAAGAATCTATTTTTCACGTCTAATAATTTCAAACATGAATCCTTCAAAAATATTCTTGCATTTCTGCATTGTTTTTCCGGTTGCCATACAACATCCGGATTTGCCGAAAAAGGAAAGAAAAGTATAATCGTTCATATGTCCGCCATTTTCATCAAGTATTGGTCAGTTTAATCTGTTTAAAATGTGTTTTTCCGTTAACCAGCTGTCGCACCTCTACGAAAGACAACCCTCAAAAGTCGATCTTGTGTGAGCTAAGGATTAACGAGGTATTACCTTTTAACGTGTGATTCCTAACACGGGTTGGGCGACAGCAAGTGAAAATCGATCGTTCAGCCTGGGGCTTGAAGCACCGACCAACACAGCGGTCAATTTGAGTGAGTAAACAAAGCACCCACGTCGATCCGACCGACTACATTTTTGAATAATTTCATTATCATGGATCTCCATCATATTCAAACTAAACACTATTTTACTGTGAACTGAAATTATTTGAATCATATCTAATATCCTGAGAAAGATAAAACCTGCATCAGATGTCACAAATACCCACCTCGCTTCTGTGAAATTATCAGCGCTAATTAGTTTTTAATCGCACGATCAAGCATGAAAACAATCGGAGAAATCGAGAAAATCATGAGGATTGCCACAGTTTAAAGGAAAACTATGTTTCCTTCAACAGTAATTAGGGAAGAAAGTTTCACTAATGAAAAGTGAAGTGGTAAACACAGTAGCCGTAGAAATGGAGGTAGTTGTGCGTTGATATACAGAGTGATTCACAATATAATGGAATTGTGACTGATCGCTGCCCATATGCGGAAGATATTTGAGAAAAACTCTTAGGTATTTGGGTTTTTTTCAACGCAATGGAACCCAAAACAAGCTGGCTTTAAACGATACGGCATTCTAGAAGTTTCGAGAGCAGAAACAAGTGAGGTTAAGCGTGACCTTGATTAAGTCGCAGTCGATCGAAGTAAACCAGCATCTACTAACTAACTAACTAACTACTCCAAGTATAAATTTTACCTGATGACTTTATGCGTGGAAAATATAGGTAGTACCGAGGGGACTGACGTAAACTGGTCACAGTTCATTAAGGAAATAAAGGGCACGAACAACTGGAGAGTCTTGTATTCCTCTAGGGATTCTAGGCGCGGATCCAAAACGTTTCAGTTTCAATTATTTATTCGAACATTTCTTATTGGTAGAATTCGTTCAAAATACATACATCAACCTATCATTTAACCAAGATACATATATTCACAGAATCGAATAATTTTTATTCACCTGTTCATGCAGGTAAAGTATGTAGGAGACTTTTAGACCATAAAAAAAAAGTTTGGCCAACAAAATTGTACCTAATCTTGAATTAAAGATTATAAACGTTTTTCATCAAAACAAAGTGAAAGTAAAATGATATTTAAATACCTTTATTTCAAGACAAAGTACTATCAATTTTATATAATCTGATATCATTTCATTCCATACTATTAAGTAAGTATAATATGAGGAACTTTTTGGGAACTTTGATTGACCTTTCATCTATGCTATTGAAATATATTTGTGAAGAAAAGTCATTGACACTAATCATCCTACTTTATTTTATTCATTCTGCTTTTATTGTTTCATGGCAATCTTCAACTATTGGCAACACTGTAGTAGCCTAAATGTCTTTCCTGTCACCTGTCAGTATATAACACATGTCAAAATGTTCAAACCCAAACAAATTAGGAGAAATTGTATTATTGAAACGTAAAGTTATCTAAACCCTCAGTTCATTTTGAATAATCAAATAATTCACGACCAAAATGGGGAGGCGATCCATCAATACCACGAAAAGTGGAAAATACATGAACCCCACGGATCAAGCACGTAAGTAGGAAATCGCACATCAAAAGGAAAATACAAAGTTTTGTTCTTACAGGAAAAGAGGCAAGAAAACAAGAGCTGAAGAAAAATAAAAAGCAGAGGCAAATGGTGAGAGCTGCTGTGCTGAAAGGAAAGGATCCGCAACAAATTCTGGAAGAAATGGAGAAAATTGATGAAATGGGTTAGTTCAATTTTTAGCAGCTAAAGTTTCATTGTATCAATGCTACCTACTGTAACTTTTTAGAAAAAAATGCCAGGACTTAGTTCAGGTTCCTAAAGTTCCCCAAAAAACCTTAAGTTTTTATAAACTTCAAAGAAAATGTGCCATAGCTACATATTCTGACATTATTTTTTTGCAGAGTACAATGTTAACCAGCCATCACCTTTAAACGAAAAAGTCCTCAAAGACAAACGAAAAAAGCTTCGGGATACTTTAGAAAGAGTACTCAGTATGTATGTAAGTCTGTAGCCTCCCTTACCTTTAATTTATATCTAATAACAAACAAATTCCAGTATAAAGACGACCCAGAAAAGTGGACAGACCTGAAACGGCGCCAGACTGATTACGAGCATAAACGCAATCAACTCGTCACCTTCTACGAGTCTGTCAAAAGTGCTCAGCAAGTAACAGTAGACGAAATCCCCTTACCGCAGCTTCCTCAGCAGGCCAACGCTCTACCCAATGCCCCCGCACAGATCCCTCTACCGACAACCGAAAGAAAGCAGGAGCACACAATATACTCTATCGCAACAGCTCTTAAACTCCAAGCTCTAGGCCAGCCGGTGAGGGAGCCTCCGGGTCCCCCCCCTGGCCCAGCTCCGGACTTGAATGATGATGGTGAGGTAGAGGAGTTTGGAGCAAGGCCATCGGCGGAAGAAAAGGAGATAGAAGCTGACGAAGCAAACAGTGACAACGAGTCTTCGGCTGTGAAACCTACTTCGCTTCAACAGAAGATGGTAGCGCTATCGGGGCAGAACGTCGATGAGTTTATGAAGGAAATGGAGACGGTGCAGAAGAAGTTGGACATGAACCGAGAAGATGATGCCAGGGCAAAGATGTCTGTTCACATAGAGCCTCTGGTAAGTAGATTTCTTGTACTTGTTTTAGTGTACTTGTACAGTTTTAATTTGTGGAAAATATAATTCCATTGGCACCATTCACGCCACTGTTTCCAGTTTTAGGTACTGAAAACTTTTCAACCAAATTTTTTTGATTTACAGGTACCACCCGGCACAGAACTACCCATTCTACCCACCCAAACTCCCGTTCCGCCTCCCCACCTATTCCCCAGCAGTATACGACTTCCTCCGGGCCCCCCGCCGGGTAGGCCGCTAATGCCGCCTGGCCCGCCTCCCGGATTGCCCCCGCGGTTACCACTCAGGTTGCCTCAGGTCGCACCTAGAATGATCAGGCTAACTGGTCCGCCACAGCTTGTGCAGCCTAATGTGCTCTCCGCTGCACCTCAGTTGATCAACAGATCAGAATCATCAAAACAGGGGGCCACGATATCGGCCAAACCGCAGATCAGGTATGTTTGTTTGAGGGAGGGGGTTGGTAAGGGTGATGGTTCAGAGATGGCGCCACTGCACGTAGTACATTTTTTGTTTGTTTCATTTCGCTTTTGAGAGATGGCGCCACATAAATTTATTAATTTTGACATGTTCCAAAAACTACGGTTGAACATTGTACACTTCGTATGTCACACATCCCCTCAAAAACATCTAGAGGCGTCATATTTGTATTTTGTGTATCATTGACAAAATCAAATGAGTTTCGTTTCAGCAAGATAAGGTTCCTCCTCATTGTGACAGGCTGGTTCAAACGTGACTTGGTAACAATTATTCAAACTGGTGAGACAATTTTGGTTCCTTGGAATGATCTGCTAGATCACCGAGCATGATGCCCTTAGATTTTTTAGAAATCCGTGAAATCTAAAGTATATGTTACAAAACCGCAGTTTATTCCAGAGCTCATTGATAATACCTTTTGAATTAATTAATTATTATGAAAGGACGTTTCTATAAAAGAACAAATATAGCAAAAAATATTTGAATGTTAGTTACTAAAATGCCTCATGTCAATTTATAATGTTTTCTTACAGTTCAACCTTCAAATATTGGTGAAACAAATTGAATATCAGAGCCATCTGTTGAAAATATTCAACTATAGTAAAACCAATAATGATTGAGAGTAAAGCGCGTTGTCATATCTAAATTTTACGTTACCAGTTTATAGCAGAATCAAAATATAGTAAGCAGTAGAGTTGTAGGTTGTGGCAAATTATAGATAATACACAATACTAGTACGATTAAAAGGTATTATTTATGACAAAAATCAGTAATGAGCTTGTAATGAGTAATACTTATACATTTCCTGATTACTGATCAGTTAAAATTCATTATTTTCTGTATAGTGTTAGATATTTATTACAACTAGTGGCAACGCTGTACGCAACGATATTTCTGTCTTTGTCACTTTACCG